TAATTTTGACTCTTATATTTGGGCCTTTAATCAATTTTAAGACAACCTTGGTATATTGTGTGAGGTAGGGTCCAAATTCATTCTTTCGCATGTGGATATCCAGTTGTTCCAGCACGATATTTTGAAAACAGTATTCCTGTTGAACTATCTCAGCACCCTTGTTGAAAAATCAGTTGACCCTAAATATATGGCTGTATTTCTGGACTTTCAATTCTATTCCATTGATCTGTGTGTTCACCCTTATGCCAGTATCATACCGTTTCAATTATTGTAGCATTGTGGTACGTTTTAAAATAGGGAAATGTGAGTTCTCCACCTTTGTTCTTTTTCAAGATTATTTTAGCGGTTCTGAGTCCCTTGCATTTCTGCAGAATTTTATGATCACTAAGGATTTTGATAGCTATTGTATTGAATCTGTAGATCAATTAGGGGAGTATTGCCATTCTAACAATTGTAAGCCATTCCGTCCATGGACTTGGGACATCTTTCCATTTATTTAGATCTCGTTTAATTTCTTTTCAGTAACGTTTTGTAGTTTTTAGCATCTTTTTTCCCTTCTGTTCCTCCTTTCCTATTTTCTTTTGCATTAAGTAAATATTTTCTAGTGTAATATTTTAATTCCTTTCATTCCTTTTTTACTTTTTCTTAGTCATTTCTTAGTTGTTGCTTTAAAACAGTATACATCTTAACTTGTCAGAATTCAGATATTTACTAACTTAATTACAGTGAGATAGAGAAACATTGCTTTTAATCTAATTCCATTCCATCTAATCCATATTTGGTGCTACTATTGTTTTATATATACGTAGGCAATATATATATTGGAAACTCAATAATACATTGTCGTAATTATATAATTTATGTCATGTAAAAAATCTGAGAATAAAGGAAAGCAAGTATCAGACATAGAGTTTGTTATATTAACCTTCTTATTTACTATTTCTAGATCTCTTCATTTATTCCAGTGGATTTGAATTACTCTGATACAGCTTTGCTCCTTTGTGTTGTTACTGTCACGTCATGACATTTCTATATGTTATAGACCTGCAATACCTATTGTTTTATGCAGTTGCTCTTTAAGTTAATTATGAAAAGAGAAGAAATGTATGATTATACTCTCCTTTGTAATTACCTGCATCATTACCTTTGCCAGCACTTTTTATTTTTTTGTGTGGATTCAGATTACTCTCTGATGTCACTTGCTTTCAGCCTGAAGAACTGTCTTTAGTATTT